ACAATCCTCAATCCCAACAGATCTTCCTTTATGAATTTATGATCTTCCTTCAAAAATCTGCTCTGGATTTCCTATCTTAGAGAAGAGCATCACTGTCGAACCCATTTGCACAGGAAAGGAACTAAAACAATATCCTTGTTCATCCCCTTGTCCTCAGTCACATGTGGAATTTTTTTTTTTACCAAGTCCTGTTGATTTAACTTCTCCTGAATATCTTAATACTGTAGATATTAATAGCTAACTTACTCCTCTCTGACTCCACCGTCACCACCATTTTCCTTCATCTCTCAACAGTGGTTAAAAACTGCTAGGTTGTATAATCTCCCCTGTTGACTCTGACCTTCTATGATCCATTCTCACGATACAGCTGGAATAATCTTTTCCAAACATAAACCCAAATGACAATATAAACCTGCTTTATTGGCTTTCCATTATCTCTAGATAAAGTCCAGGATCTAAAACATGGCTTACACAATTCTGAATGTTTTGGCCTTGCCCACCTCTCTGATTTGGTTTTGAATTATTTTCCTTCGTACACTGGGCTTCCATCCCTTGGACGATCTTCCAGTTCTTCAAACTCATGTGCTTCTTTCTACCACAGAATCTTTGTAGATGCCGTGTTGCCCCTTGTCTAAAGCTCTTTGGTGTGCATGTCCCCTTCCACTAACCTAATTGATTCCTATTCATCCCTTAGAGGTAAGAGCAAGGGTCACTCTCTGGGAAAAGACTTTCTTGATTCCATCAGCCCAGGTCATGCTCACTGTCAGAAAACTGCCTTCTTTTCATGTGCTTATTTAATTACTACCTGTGTCCTTTAATGCAAGTTCAATAGAAGCAGAGCCATATCTGACTTTTCTCATCATTGCATTTGTTTATTTGCTTTTTGCTTGTTCTGTCAGTTTTGGTGAGAAATATGGATCATGCTTCCACTGTGACTCTGGATTTGCCTCCCTAATTCTATCACTTTCTCTTTATATATACATAAGCTGCCTTATCACACACCACAAATTTAAAACACTCTATCATCCTAGTGGACTGATTTCTTTTATCATTATAAAGGGTCCCTTCCTAACTTATTCTTTACTCCAATTCTATAGTGACTCTGACAACTTTTCTTCTGCTTAGATTTTGTATGGTGTATCTATCTCTTTTCACTCTTTATTCTTTCTGTGTTCTTGAATTTAAGATACTTCTCTTGGAACAGCGTTGGATTGTTTGTAAACATAGTGTGGCATCTTGTGTGTTTTAATACAGTCTGTCAATATAAATCTTTTAAAAATTCTTACACTTAATATAACTGCTTAAACATTTTGGTTTTTTGAAATTTTTTTCTACCATTCATTTGAGCCATCCCATGTTCTTTCCCCGCCCCTTACCTTCTTTTGAGTTAATCAAGTATATTTTTCTACTTCATTTTTTTTTTTGCACCTGGTCAGCTATAACAATTTGGGGCATTCTTTTCAGAGACTACTTTAGAGATTCAGCATGAATCCTGGATTTCGTAAAGTATAGTATAAATTATTATTTTATCGATTTTTATCAATTCCTGTACAATGAGAAGACATTTGAACGTGCTCATTTTTTACGTCTTTCTGATTTTTACTATTGCCCTCATGTATTTTAATTCTACATATATTCAAATTACAATAAAATACTAGCATTGATATTTGCAGTCAAGATTTATTTAGACTTACTTACATGTGTGTCTGTCCTTTGCAGTTCTTTCTTTCCTACAATATTTTCCTGTCATTGGCATTACTTTTCTTCTGCCTGAAGATTTCCCTTGTGTATTTCATTTAGTATATATTGGGTAATAAATTCTTTCAGAAAATACAGTGTTTACAGCTCTAGGTCCAGCTGAAAATTTGCAAGAAACACAGAGAAAGAGAGGACTTATTGAAACCTGCCACATTATGAAATTAACAAAATCCACACTTTGGAAATTTGACAGCTCAAACAACCCAGGATCTTTAACCTTTAGCCCAAGGAGAAGTAAGGAATGGAGGGAGCTGTAGGAGACTCACTTACATTTTTTAATGGGCAAGATTAAACTATAGTGTCTGGGAATGTATAACTGGGTGATAAAAGCATAAAACAAGAAAGACATTATAATAAATGCACAATAAAAGGGTAAAGGTTACTTTTGGAGCAGACAGCATATTATGATCTGGCTAGCACACAAGAAAATGTTTCTGAGTGGCTGAAGAAGTTCTATGTCCTTATGGTAATTTCGTGAGTGTTTGCCTTAAAATAATTTGTTAAGCTATATATTTGTTTTGGGTATTTTAAGTACCTGGTTTTTATTTTATAATAAAAAGACAAAAAATAAAGATAATTTTAAAATCAGCAAATTTTAACTTCTATATTTTGAATCACAGTTTCTATAGTCTTCATTTGACAGGGGTGTTTTTCATCTTAAGATGCTATTTCACTATCTTTGGTGTCCATAATTTTTGTTAAGAACTCAACCTGTTTTTCTCTTAGAAGATAATATATGTACTTTTCCTTCTAACTGCTTGTAACATTGTCTTTGCCTTTCTTTTATAACAGCTTTATATAATGGTGGGTTTTGCTGAAGTTCACTTTGTCTATCATTGGATTCACAGGGTTTCTTGTATCTGTGGCTTGATGTCTTTCAGTAGTTCAGGGACTGTCTCTTAAAATATTGTTTCTGTTATTTATTCTCTTTCTCCTCATTCTGAAGCTATAAATACACATATAATATTTACTCTATATTACATATAATTCTTATATAATGAGAAAACATTGGGACACTTTGACTTTATCTTTTATTTTTCACATATAATTTATTATATATTTTTTATTTATTATATATAATTATATATTATTTTTAATATAGAAAATTTATTTATTATATTCTTGTGTGTATATATGCATATGTGTGTGTATCCCTTTTTTCTCTATGGTTCTTTCTGGATATTTCTAACAACTTACATTCTTTTCTATTATTTCGGATATTTCTTTTTTTCTTATTTGTTCAAATTACTTATACATGACAGTAGAATGTATTTTGACACATCATACACAAATGGAGAAAAACTTCTCATTCTTCTGGTTGTACATGATATAGAATAACACCAGTTGTGTAATCATATATGCACAGAGTAAGAATGTCCAATTCATTCTACTATCCTTCCTCCTCTCTCTTAACTTCCCTCTAATTAAAAGTACCTCTGTTCTTCCCTAGCACCCCTCTACCTTATTGTGAATTAGTATCCACATATCAGAGAAAACATCTGGCCTTTGATTTTTTAGGATTGGCTTATTTCACTTAGCATGATATTCTCCAGCTCCATCCATTTACCAGCAAATATCATAATTTCATTCTTCCTAAGGCTGAGTAATATTCCATTGTGTATATATACCACATTTTCTTTATGTATGCATCTGTTGAAGGGAATCTAGGTTGGTTCCATAGCTTGGCTATTGTAAATTGAGCTGCTATGAACATTGATGTGGCCATGGTACTATAGTATGCTGATTTTTAAGTCTTTGGGGTATATGCCAAGGAGTGGGATAACTGGGTCAAATGGTGGTTCTATTTCAAGTTTTCTGAGGACTCTCCATACTGCTTTCCATTGGTGGTTATACCAATTTGTAGTCCCACCAGCCACGTTTGAATGTACTGTCTCTCCATATCCTCACCAACATTTAGTGTTGTTTGTATTCTTGAGGATTGCCATTCTGTCATTATAGATATTTCTAACAAATTACATTCTGGTTCATTATTGAATTTAAGTTTTATTTATTATATGTTTCAGTCCTAGAATTTCTCTCTATTCTTTTTCATGGATTTTAATTCTCTATTTCAGTCTCCATCTTGTTATCATCTTTGGTTATTTAATATAGTATTTAAAGTGTGTGATAAATCCAATATCTGTGTAGTATCAGTATCCTCCATGGATCAGCATATGTTGTTTTTAAGTGATTTTTTGGTCATTTTTCTGTTGTCTTAATAGACTATAGTATTTTAATTGAATGCTGGACCTTATTCTATAAAAAATAAAAGATTGTTTAGAGCTCCAAATGATGTTCTTTCTTCAAAAATTATAATGCCAGACAGTTAGGCTAGGCAAATCACCCTAATCCAATGGAACGTCAACTGTTTAGTTTGTGTGAGAGCTGATCTACACCCAGTTTTCCTTTATACTTCCAGTTTTTTTCGCTTAGGGCCCCAAGTTGAAAACCTAGGGTATTTCTCAATGCTCCTTCTCCTTATCAGTCCGTGAGTCCAATATTGTCCCATGATGTCCGAAAACCATCTCCTGGTGTTTATGAGCTGGTAAATACTTCAAGGAGAAAGTAAAATTGCATTTTGATCTTATCTCTTGGTATTTTCTTCTTTTAGAATCTTTTTACTAATGCCCTTATTGCCTTGGTAGTTTTAGTGTTCCTTCAAACATTTGTTTTAAAAATACATATTATCCATTTTTTCTCAATTGGTCTTTGTGGAAGGATTTGTCTGATGTAAATTAATAAAAGTTGCAAAGAAATGCTTATCTTTGTTGTTTGTTAGTGAGGTTTTTGTTGTTGTTGTTGTTTTGTTTTGTTTTTGGTACCAGGGGTTGAACCCAGGAGAACTCAACAACTGAGCCACATCCCCAGCCCTTTCTATATTTTATTCAGAGACAAGGTCTCACTGAGTTGCTTATGGCCTTGCTAAGTTGCTGAGGCTGGCTTTAAACTCTCAATCCTTATGCCTCAACCTCTCAAGCTGCAGGGATTACAGGCATGTGCTTCCTTACTCAGAAGCCCTGTTATTTTCTCATAGCACTGATTTTTCCTTTTATAGAATTCTTCACTGTTTGCAATTAATTATTTTTATGTTTTCTTTTTACATTTCTTTATTTTTATACCTCTCTCTCCCTTAGATTTTAAGCTCAATGAGCTAGCAGGAATCTGTTTTGCTCACCATTGAGTCCTTGGTAACTAGCACATATTAGTCACTCAATAAATATTTTTAGTGAATGAATGTAGGCTCTTGGTCTAAGTATTTTATATGCTTGATGTAATCTAATCCTTACCATCACCATATGTGGCAGGTATTACTATCTCATTTTTAGAGAAGAGAGAACAGAAAATGAGAGGAGTAATTCCCAAGGAAAACCATATATTAAATGTTCTATAAAACTCTTCCTAGACACATAATCCTTATGGTTTTGCAAATTCCACATGCAGCCTGCTTTTCATTTTTCAATATGTCGTCTACTAAAGTATCCTTCCGTTCCTCCTTTTCATTTTCTTCTTTCTCTAGTCCATGTCTCACTTCTTGAGGTCTTCAGTGTTCATGAGCATTTCATTGATGAGCAAACTGGAAAAATAAAAGGGCAACACATTAGCTGAGCAGGGTGAGTATACCCCAACACACCAAGAGGGGGTAACACATTCCTCTCTTCTCATGCCACGGTGGTCAGTTTCAGCACCTGGCCTCGTTGTTTAAACATTTTTTAAAAAATTTAATTTATTTATTTAAAGTCAACCTTATATTTTAGAGCAGTTGTAGATTTGCAGAAAAATAGGGTAGAAAGTACAGAGCGTTCGCACGCGCCCCCTCCCCGCCGTGGTACATTTGTTACCATCGATGAATCTACATTGGCTCATTCATTTTTATCCCCCTGTGTGAAACCATCTGGGATTGTGTGTTTGCCAGATTCAGCTACCTTGGGTGAGAGTCCTCTTTTGACCTGCAGTTAATATATAAATCCCCTGCTCCTCATCAGCATTTATTCCATTCTCAACCTGCTGCCATAAAAGTTCATTTACCTCTGAACTTTGATCGTTCTAGCACATTTCAGTGTTTGCATGTTCCAAACCAGGCAATTAACTTTAATACTGCATTCTTAAAGGAAATCAGGGACGATCTCTGGAAGCCATAAATGCTCACATTGTCGCGTTGAGTCTGAAATCTTTGTGATGCTGCTCACACGCAGTGCTCCCTCCTCGCCTCCTGCCCACCCAGCCAAGGTTTGGCTCACAGCCACTGCATCTGTGAAGCCTGTTCTAACGAGCTCCATCCCACAACATTTTTTCTCTCTCTCTTTGGCACCATATCGGGCATCAAACTGTCCCAGGGAAAGTCATTAACCCTGTCTGAGCTTCAGTTCCCTCATTTGAAAGTTTGGACCAAAACACTTCCGGAGGGGCTTGCAGATACATTTCAGTATGGCTGAAGATGCTTGCATGAGGAGCTTGGTAGGTATACAATAGACATCAGTGTCCCCTACCTCCTTGCTTGTTCAAGGAAATTGGTTTGGAAAATAGGTGCACAACGTGGGAGACAATATCCACACAGATTATTGCAAAGAGAACAGTGTCTCAGTGATACCAAGTCCTTCCTGGGTTTGTAAAGAAAGGGAGCCAAAAAGTCTCTGGTTCCGAGCAGCTGAAGGGTGGTGGAGCTGCCAATGAAAAGGAGAAGAACATGTGAGGAAGGGGGTTCCATCTTGCCTAGAAATATATTCATCTCTGTTCACGTATTGGTAAGTGGAAATGAAGCATAAAATTATGGCTCACCAAGCTAGATAGACAGGTGCAGAGACTGTGCTTTCATATACACTAGAAAGAGGACCTGGGTTGGATTTGGACAGACACCAGGAGGGGAATGATTTCTAAGAGGGAGAATTCAGAGGGAGCCATAACTCTAGGCATGAAGTAAAGGTATTTTGGTATTGTCGCTGGACAATGAGACGATGACTAAGCCCATCTGGAAAGCCAGGAGGAGTCTGATGGCAGGATATGTTGAATATCTGATTGAGGAGGATGGAATTTACCCTGCCATCAGTGAGGAGGTATTGAGAAACTTTGAGTGGACACATCACACGATGACTGAGATGTCTAGACAGCACAGGCTGCAGGGGAAAGAAGTTGGAGGCTGGGGAACAAGTCCCAAGTTCTTATAGCTTGTCCTGGTATGAACTGATAAGGCTTCACCTCACCTGGCCACAGTGGAACTAACAGAGGGTTTTGCATATGAGCAAATATCTCCTAAGATATTTCTGTGACTTCTCCTTCTTCCGGATTCTTTCCCAACATCATTAAATGAAAGACCATGAGGGTTTAAATATGTTTCTTTTTTAACTTGATGAACATTTGAAAATCTATTTAAAAGTAAAAGGAGATAATAACATGGTTTTAATTCGGAGGGTTTATTTTAAAAGCATTGTAATGGAATGCATTGGCAAACCTGCTCCACCACCCACCATCTGAGATCCAGAATATAATATAATTAATTATAAAGGATATAAGATAACATCAAAACTGGTCCTATTCAACTCAGGGAGCAAAGAGCATAACTATGACAACCAGTATGATTTCTCTTGCAAAGTAAACAGGTTCAGCACAGGCAGAACAAAGCAAAATGTTCCCATTGTTGCTAAGTATATTATTCCAAAATGGGCAAGGTGAAGGTTGTGGTCACAGAGACATAAAGTGCCGTGGTAAGAGCACTGGCCACGGCTCCCTCTGCACAGAAATGAAGACTGAAGACCTGCCTCTTTCACTATTGCTCCCCATTCAGTGCAAACAGGAGAGAAAAATGGCCAAGAGCACACAGCTGAAGTGCTTCAGGATGGCTCTGTGGCATCTGTTGGGTTATTTCAGATGCAGGAAATGATCTAAAGATGGATCATCCACTTTGGGGGGAAGGTAGACATTTCTGAGGGCAAGGATTGGGTTACTGGACTAAAAAACTTGAAGGGGATTCCTGGTCCAGGCCTGGAAACAGGAGGTTCAGGTCAGAAGTACAGGCAGTTCCCATGAGGGACCCTCTCCCCAAAAGTTTGTTTTGGGAAAGCTCCTTTCCCTGTGCTTTCATGAAAACAGTTCAAAGAGTTAGCCCTACTCTTTACCTCCCAGAGATGGTCCTGGGGGCCATGGAAACCCAGATCTCATGCTCTCTGACCATATCTTTGAGCTAGAAGGAGAGTGCTGGAAGACAGTTATCAGGAGCACACTGACTGTGGTGGGTTGAGTTGTGTCCCCCAAAGAGATACACTGATGTCCTAACTCCAGGCACCTGTGAAGGTGACCTTATTTGGATTAATAACTCTAGCCTCAGTAAGATGAGATCATATTAGAAGCAGAGGCATCCTAATCCAATGAGGCATCCTTATAAAGGAGGGACATTCAGGAAGATGGACACACAGGGAGAAGTTCATGTGAAGATGGGAACAGAGATTAGAGCCACACATCTACAAGCCCAGGGACATCAAGGGTTGTCAGTAGCCACCAGAAAATGGAACGAGATAGGAAGGCTTTTCCCTGACTCTGCCCTTGCCTGACTCCCAGCCCCAGAATCTTCAAAGAGAGCACGACTCTGTTGACACCTAGATCTTGGACTTCTAGCCTCTAGAACTGTTAGACAGTGGGTTTGTTTTTCAAAGCTACCCTGTTTGTGATTACAGCAAACCTAGGAAGACCACACCTCAACACTCCACCCCGATCACACAGAGACATAGGTGTGAGGTCAGAGAGGCACTGAGAAGACCTGGCCTGATGGTGACCCATGCTGTCCTGGATGGAGACAGTCTCCCTGTGAGACCTCAATGCATGTTTCCTGTGGATTTACAATCCTACCAATCAGTACTTTCTGCTGGTTCAAAGACAGTGATTCTTGAACCCTTGTCCAGGACTGTTCTGAGAGTTCCTCAAACACTGGCCCAGAACAGTGATGGAATTAAGGAAGGAGTAGAAGAAATGTTAAGTATTAGATGACTAGAAGCCAGGTTCCCATATTCCAGACACACACGTAAAGATGAGAGGGAAATAAGGAAATTCCAAAAGTAAAGAAAGTCTCAGAAAATGTAGCCACTGCAGAGTGGCTCATGCTGATACATCTGAGGTTTCCTTTATCCTAGTGGTTTCTGCTCTTTGCAAAAATTGCCAAGGAAGAGATAGTATCACTTTGATCCCAAATAGATGTCACATTTTGGAATTAATTATGTCATAGAATGGTTCACAGTCAGCATGTGATTGGAGGGTTTTTCTTTTGGGAGGTGGGTGGGTACTGGGAATTGAACCCAAGGGTGCTTTACCACTGAGCCACATCCACAGCTCTTTTTTTTAAATTTTCTTATTTTATGACAGGGTATCACTAAGTTGCTTAGGGCCTCATTAAGTTGCTGAGGCTGGCCTTGAACTTGGGATCCTCCTTTCTCAGCTCCCGAGTTGCTGGGATTACAGGCAAGCACCACCATGCCCACTGGAGCTCTTTTTTGAGAAGTGGTAATGGGTTTATTTTGACTTGCTCTACAGTCTCCCCCAGCATTGAGGCTCATCTCAGACATTTCTGAGAAGGGTAAGGGAGGGGAAACATATTAACTGGCCCACTTGAGGACTGAGCCCTTATATTATTTTCTTTAGACCAAGAACCAGTGCTCAGGAGAACCATGAAGCTCAGCTACCCTTTGCTGAAACACTTTCTGTGCCAAGCTTTATCACTGTTATCTCACCTAATTGTCACCAAAGTGGATTTAAGGATATGCTCAGCCCTATATTATATATAGAAACTGGGAAATAAGAAATCTGCCATAAGTGGCCCAAGATCTTAAATGGTAGAGCCAGGTCTGAAATCCAGCTGTGCCTTCCTCCAAAGTCTACTTGCTTGTCTGGTTGTGACATTTAATATTATGAAACACAATCCTCATCAAGTGGAAAAGACACCTTTATGCAGTGCCTGTGCTTTGTGAATTATTGGCCTCTTTCGACTCTTGTTTTCTGGTTCAAAACACCACTCTCCTCCCACTCTGCAGCTGTCTCTACCCGGCTCATGCCTTCTTGGGAAGAGCTCTTTGGTGTGTTTGGCAGGATTTCAGAATCGCATGTTTCTGCTATGGGGGAAAAAAAATTCTGAGTTTGGAATTCAGTTGTGCTCAGAATGAGCCCTTTGGCCTGAATATAGAGAAGGAAGTCCAAGCCTCTGACATGGAGAGAAAGAAGAGTTTCTGGAGCTCAGCCAGAAACACCCTTTGTTGAGACAAGGGACTGAATCTCACTCCTTAGCTGAGGTTGTCCCTTGCACTTGGAAAACCTTGTTCCCCAGCTTCCACTTCACTCCGACAGCTGCTAGACATTTGGTGAGTCTCAAGTCAGGGACCCTCCAGGAAAACTACCTCCCACTTCCTGTGCTCCTAGGCACCTCCCTGTGCTCCTAGGTACCAGCACTTTCCTCCTTTGTTCTGTGTGCTCTGTAGACAGCTTCTCACCTGCTGACCTGTGAGCTAATGGAGGTCAGAACCCTTACTCCTCTAAGACTCCCCAGTGCTATAAACCCTTTGAAAGTGTTGAGTAAATGAATGAACGAATAGAAGTGACCAGTTCAAGCCATGCGGGGAGAACCAAACACCTCCCACCCCAGATTCCAGAAACATCTCCCCTCCTCTCCTTACTCCTCAGGGATTGATGCTTTCACAGCCACTGAAGGCAATGATTCCAGAAATACTTTGGGAGATTGGTTCACCTGTGAAGCAGGAGACTTGGAAGGAGGTCGGCTCCTTGACTTGTCAGCTCCATGCTTCTTTCTAAGAGGCTGAGAGCTGAGGGCCCTACGCTGGAGGCTTCTTAGCAGGGAGGGAAGGAAGCCCTGCTTCAGAATCCCACTTGATATTGATTTCAAGGTGCTCATGATTACAGAAACAAGGATCTGAGGATGCTTCCTTCACATCCCATAGTATATCAACTCGAGTGACCTTCTTGAGTTAACCCAATATTTGAGAAGTAGAGTTCAAAGGTAGCTTGGGAAACCTGTCAGCACTCAGCAGACTCAGCAGAGAAAGTTCATCTCCCTGCAGCCCTATGACAACGCAGAGTGTTGTAAGGCTGCCTGGCCCTGCCCTGTTCAACTTTCTGCCAGGTAGCTCTTCTGTGCCAGTCCCTGGGGCTTGGATGGAGTCCAGGAAATGCTGCAACCTCAAAGCCAGGTTATTTGCCCCTCAGGCTATTCTCCTTTGGGACCTCTCACCTGCAGCCACCTCCACCCTGCATGGCTATGCCAGGGTGGTGATGAAGCTTTTTTCTCAGAGTTCCGAGGTCCCCATGGAGTGATTGCTGCTGCTGCTCCTGCCCTGGGTTCCCTTGTCTTCTCTGAGAGTTCTCTCTTGTTTACACTTTAATCAAGAATTCACTAAATAATTTGTGCGGTAACTTGGGAGCAGAGTTTGGTGACCAAACAAACTGAAGGTCAAAGTCCTTGATCTTGCTCTTAGGCAAGTTGTTTGCTCTCTCTGGCCCTATTTCCCTCATCTTGAGTCCCTACCTTGCAGGCTGTCGTGGTGATGAAAGCTATGGCTCTTGGCCCAGGCTGCACATCAGAAGTCCCTTGGGATCCTCAAAATGCCAATGCCTGGGGCCCAACCAGATTGGTTAAATCAGAGTCTTTGGACTGTGAGCCCCCGCATCAGTTTCTTACAGATCCCCAGGTGACTCATAACTACACTCTAAGTTGTGATCTTAGAGATAATGTACAGAACCTGGAAGACATATTGCTTTCAGAACATAAAGTTCTGTTAGTAAATGATGCCAATGTTATTATTATATTACTGAGGCCCTTAATCTTACTTCTTCCAAAAAAGGAATTCCTCTTATGTGGCTGAGATATCCAAATTATAAATAAGGAGCTAGTCTCTAGGCTGCTCAGTGAGATGATAATGACAGTGACTTGAAAGTCAGCTCTGAGGACCCCAGATTTTTAAAGGATGTGCGTGCGCTCACTCATGTCCTCCTGGTGTGCCTTCTTGTCTGTAATCCTTCAGCCATCCTGGGTCTGCATCTGTGGAAACATTTCCCGTTGAAGCTCAGTGCCCTCATTTCCAGTACTGGTGGCCTCATGGGAGGTAGTGCTCAGCTTTTGCATCCCCAGTTACCTTTGCTCTGCAGTAAATAGATGAGTCATATTTGGTCCCAGCAGGTCAACTAACAAGCCGTCTGGGCTATTGAGTCTGGTGGTTTAGGCCAAGGAGGCAATGACCTTGGTGCCAAGGAAAGTCATAAAACTGGGCTTGACACTCTTTAAAGTTATCTTTGTTTGCTGATTGTTTGGCTAGAGGGATTGGTTTGGAGCTATTCCTGGCCACTGTGGGTCCCTTCAATGATAAGCTTAATTAGGGTGAAAGGAGGTCAAACAGTCCTTCAGTTCGGGAAGCAATGGGCTGAGAAGATTAGTGCAGATAACTAACATCAGTTGACAACCCCCACACTGCACTTGAGATATCACTTCACTTCTTTTTCCAAACTAAGTATGTTCTGAGTGTGGTTTGCAGGATAGGCTACTGGTTTAGTGGGTGGGGAGGACTAGCTTTAGTTTTAAGCCAAATATTTAAATATCTCTCATTTTTCTACTTCTTTACATCCAAACCACCCAAGACTGGTGCTGAATCTCTAGGAGACAATGCATGAGCACCTGTGTGGAGACCACCACCTCTTACTAGGATCCCCACAGAGCTGCCAGAATAATCCTTCCTAATATCATTTGGATGGCTCCACTCCCCAGCTTGAAACCCTTCAAATGACTCCCCATTACCTTGTAATGTGACTTTCAAGTCTCGATCAGCTCTGGCTGCTATCCACCTTTCCACCTCATCTTGCTACAGGTGGGTAGCGTGCATCCCTCTCCTTAACTCCCACCTTCTTTTCTCTTCTGCTCTTGGGACTGTATCTACCACCTGCCTGTACATTTTTTCCAGTGAAGGTAATACTCAAGAAGCCTTCAGCTTCATCCTTACTCCCTAGGGAAGTCTTTCCTTCCTCTCCCTAAGAGCTCCTGATTCCTGAGTCCCTCCTATGCAAATCCTTCTTGATCTTGGTTGTTGCCCGTTGCCTAACCAGAATTTAAGCTCCGTGAAGGAGAGACCCCATTGGCAACCACCATCCATCTGTATTCTCTACATGAAGGCAGTGAGTGCATTTAAAATGAATCCCAAAAGCACTTACCAAAGACAAGGAAAAGCCATGGACTTCACCAAGGAAGAGAATATGACTCAGAGATGAAGAGGAATGTGCCTGCTGCCTCTTCACATAGCAATCAGGAATTGCAGAGTTATCCATATTATGTGAGGTCCACCATCATGGGTGAAGTCCCTATAATTTGCAATAATGTATACTATTAGATATTTTATCTGCATAAAATGTGCATTTGATGGTAATTGTCATTTTTTTCTAAATAATATTTTGCTAGACGATTGAAGAGCTGAAACTCAAAAGAGGCATGACAGCTGGGGTTGTGGCTCAGTGGTAGAGCACTCGCCTAGCAAGTGCAAGGCCCTAGGTTCAATCTTCAGCAACTACAAATAAAAAATAACTATGTAAAAAAAAAAAAGGGAGGGGGCATGACAGCTGACAATTATTTAGGACCTACAGCATGCCACACATGACAACTTTATGAGGCAGACACTGTCATTACTTTCATTTTGTAAATAGGGAAACTGAGAGATATAGGAACGGGAATGTGCTTGGCACCATGTTGGAGCTGGTATATTGAAGCCATATTTAAAATCAGGCAGCCATCCAGGCCCAGATCACATTATAATGTCTCCCTGTGGAGCTGTCTACCACCTTCCCCAAATTTAGGTTCTCTCATCTTTGCAAGAAAATACTATAGGCTGAAGATGTGCCATAGATTTTACTCACTCTCTCAAGAGGTAGGGTCCTTGTTAATATTTCAGAACATAAAAGAGTGGGGCTCGATTTCTCACCTTCATGAATTATTTCTAAAGAGTTTATTGCATCCTCAGTGTAGTGTCTAACTTCATAGAAAGGACCCTACGTTCTTCCCATCCCATTTGCTACCCAGCATAGTGCAGATCTGAAGAAAGCACTGTGGCTTTGGAGAAGTTGATATCAATTCACTCAGCCACAGGTTCTCTTGGCTAATGGATCCAAACGGGCTCACAGTGTCTAGCTGTTTCTGCACCAGCCTACTGGCCTATAGAATTTACACAATTCTCTGACTCTCCAATCTAAGTGAAGAGCACAATGGATACATTATTAGAGGCCTTTCCACTTTAATTAAATTTCCTTTACAAGGGATAGCTGCTGTTTTTTTCTAGTTTTGCTCGTGTGTCTTCTATGATTAGTGCAGATCCACTGAACAGGATCTTAAAGCCTAATCATTGTTAAAAGAACATAGATGCTCCAAAGTTCAGCTATCAACTGCATTACAATGACTATTTATTGGTTAGATGTCCTCTTTCTCGTGCTTAGTAGGTCTCATGTTCCTTAGTTATTGAGGTCATACTTATTTTTTATTTATTAAATTATTTGCTCTATCTTTAAACTTGAAGACAATTCTGCTGTGATTAACTCTTTCCCAACTTCTTGAATCTAAGAAATAAAGTATTCTATTACCAGGAGCTAAAAAAATGTTATAGATATTTCATTCTTTGATATGAACACCTCTTTTATGAAGTGTTGGGCACTTCACATGCACTTTTTCTTTTAATCTTCACAACATTATTCATTCCTGCTATTATCATGCCCATTTCATAGATGAAAATACAGAACACACAAAGTGTATTAGTCAGCTTTCTGTAGCTGTGACAAAATACCTGAGAAAAACAACTTAAAAGGAGGAAAGATTTATTTTGGCTCATGGTTTCAGAGGTTCAGTCCATGGTCACTTGGAGCCATTGTTTCTGAGCCTATGGTGAAGCAGAACATCATGGTAGAAAGGGTGTGACAGAGCAAAGCTTCTCCCGTCATGGCAGCTAGAAACAGAGAAAGAGAGGAAGGGGACAGGGACAAAATATGCCCCTCAAAAGCACATTTTCAGTGACTTACATCCTCCAATTAGGCCCTACCTCCTGCAGCTCCCACCACCTCCCAATAATCCATTAAGCTATGAATCCATCAATGGATTAATCCACTGGCAAGGTCAGAGTCCTCATGAGCCAATCACTTCCCCAGGACCTCACCTCTGAACATTGTTGCATTGTAGACCAAGCCTTCAACACCTGAGCTTTTGGGGGACATTTTAGAGACAAACCATAACATAAGAGTTACTTGTTTGTATTGTTTGTTTGTTTTTATTGTTTGTTTTTAAGTGACCAAACTAACAAATTCCTTGCAGCTCACAGTGGACTGGACTATCAATTCAGGCAATTAACTACTATGATGTACTATTTTTCTTTACTTCCTTGAACCTTTTAAAATTTGAGTCATTTTATTTATTATGGTTGTAGCCATGACTACTTGTTTGCTTGTTTACCAAAATTATGTTCCTTATTAATTAGGATATATATTTTCAACATTAGTTAATTTCTGTTACACACACTCTCCCCAACCCCAACCTACACAACTATGCAAATGTGTACACTGACTTCAACATGTGGACTTTGGTGCATTTCCTTTCTCGTAGAATCAAATCATTCTCTTTCTTATACCAATTCCTCTACGGTGATTTAGAACTTATTACTGATAAGCTTCTCTGGAAATTAGGGGGAGTTTTGAGAAGAAAGCAGTGTCCCTGATAAATATAGAACTAAGAGAAGGCGTGTACAGAGTATGGGTGGCTGAATAGATAGTGCTTGTCTCTTCAAATAGGTTAAAGTAATGCCTGAGACTTCTTTGGACTGATTTATTTCGAATTAACCACGTGACACATTGGATTGAAACAGCACATCCTGTGTATCTCTTGGAGAAGAAATAGTGCAGAATTTCCCTTCTAAGATGACAGCAGGCTGTGGCAATACCCAGTCAATGACAAGCAGTAAGCAGCGGAGGCAAGAGATGTGGGCCAACCATGGCCTCACCCCTAGTCTTCTAACCCTGGACAACTAACAATCTCCTTGAGTTTTGCTCTTTATTCCTTCTGAATGAGCCTAACAATACCTGCTCTCCATGTGGACTCTTCTAAGTGTTGAAGAGGATACTATGGGAATATTGCATGTGGCTAGCACACAGTAGGCCACAGAGTTTCCACCAAGTGTGGAATACAGACCAACAAGTTATGGAGGCTCACTTAAAAACACTCCAGAAAGGTCTAAACATAATTTGTTAACATAAGCATACAACTAGATCATCATTAGATCTCCGATCCCCAGATTTCCAGAGGTATAGCAGAAATTCAGTCACTTCACAGTGAAACAGCAAAGAACCAAA